GTTAAACATTGGAACAGGCTGCCCAGGGAAGGGGTTGAGTCACCTTCCCCGGAAGTATTTAAAAGATGGGTAGATGAGGCGCTTAGGGACATGGTTTAGTGGGCATGGTGGTGTTGGGTTGACAGTTGGACTCGATGATCTTGGAGGTCTCTTCCAACCTTAATGATTCTATGATTCTATGATTCTATGTTAAGCTTTTCAATGTTGATTTTTACTCCTATAAAAGTCAGTATGTAGGTCACAGTACACAGAAAGAGAATTTAATATATTAAAAAGGAACTTACTGTATTATGTAAGGAACAATGAATTCGGTAATTATGATCCAGCAACTGCTCTACAGCACTTGACCTGAAAGAAATACAAGTTCAGAATGAAAATTGAGCTTTAACTAGTTTTTTTGACTTGATCGGTTGTTAATCTTTACTAGAAAAACTGTAACGACTATACAGAGCTGTTCTTTTTAAACAGCTGCCTAGTCTTCTTCTGAAAGAAAAAGCTTGTGACCTCAGTATAAATCCTCCATCATGGTTTATCCTCCAGCATGCATGCATGCATACAACACTGCTACGCATTTGCACAAAAAAAAATGGTTAACTGGATGGACTCTCAAACTTTGAAAAGATTTCCTTTAATAGAAGCTACTTACTTAAATGCTGCAGAGAGTGTCTTGTTTTTCCTAACAAAGGCTATCCTTACCAGACCATCCCACTCCTGAAATTAAAAATTTCAGAATTTACAGAAAGGAACAGCTACTGCAAGCAAGAACAGTCACTACTGACAATTTCACAACAATATTGAACACAAAAGAAAAATCTTTCAGGAAAATATCTTTCTAAACATTACAAAACCAGTCCTGTCTTGGACAAAGCAATACGAATGTAGGAGAAAATGCTTCACCCACAAAAATCTTTGAATTGTTCTTTTTCGTGCCTAGGCACCACTGGCCAGATCTTATGTGCTGAGAAGGCAGATACTTGCAACAAAATCCGGCTAACCTTGGGCAAAGCTGAGATAGTCTTGAAGATCAAAGCGTTTTAAAAATTAACTTCAAGAATACTATCCTGTAACATCTATCTTCTGAGATTATACCCACTCATCTGAAGATCAGACTTCCCATAGATACGCCTTCGATCATAACCAACAAAGTCATCAGCCAGAATGGTCTCTGGGAGATACAAACCACGATGAAAGGGACATTATTACTAGCAACTCTCCAACTGACACGGAGGTGGTACCTCAGTCTTGTCAGAAATACTGTAAACAAAGCTGCACCCGAATTGATGGTGGCACGTTCAGGTAACGTCCTAATGCAAGCCTGATCAACAGAGGAGTAAGTATTTTGGAATTGTGTAAATGCCAATGAATAGCTGGTACTTAGTAAAAACAGCACATGGAACTGAGTAATAGTGAGAAGAAAAATTGAATTAAGTATTATCACATTGTTGTTAGAGTATGCAATGCTCACCTGGAAATTGATAGGTGGTGGTGGGTTCTTTGGCTCTATTCTGACAACGCTGGATTCAACTTTGGGAGGAGGCCTGAAGTTGTTCTTTCCAACCTGTTAGTCAGGAGAGGTCAGGCAGGTGAATGAATAAGCAGCAAATCCTCACATTCCTAGAAACATTCTTCTGTCTTTGATAGCTCTGCTAGCTAACGCAGAATGACGTACCTTCATCAGATGGTCCACTCGAGCCAGTAACTGAGTGTTAATAGAGAGTCTGCAGTATAGTTTAGTTCCTGGTTTTGCAACCAAACGAAGTGCAAATTCCCTTTGAAACATAAGTATTGCACACCTGAGAATAACAGAAATGAGAAAATTAATTCTAAGTAATCAACTTTTATGTCAAAAGCCAGGTAACACGCTTGGAAAACACAGGATTTGCCTCAGCGCTTAGAAGCAATAAAAGTTTTTCATAAACAAACTCTGCCTTAATTAGCCCTGAGTGTGTTAAAAAAAAGAAACAAAACAGAAAACTTGGTGAAACCATCTGAATCTCCTTAAAACTACAATAGAATTTGATTCTTTATACTGCTAAATGGATCAGGATCAAAGAGACAGAGGCTTGCCTCAGAGTTTTGTGCCCACCTGTAACAAATAATTTTGAATAATTCTACGATGAGTCCTTCAAATCGAAACTCTCTAGCTCCAAAAATTGACCAGTAATGTCACTAACATTAGCACTTCAGTGAGAGAAGTCAAGAACTGCTGACAGTACAGTCAGCAGTACACAGAAGTACCTCCTTACATAAGGCAGTTATACTTTTGGACCAGGCAACAGGAAGCGTCTTGGCTTCGATCCTACCCTTTCCACCCTTCCTTTCTAAGGTAGGAAGGCATCTGAAATGCTGCGATGCCCTACTTATCCCTGGAATAACAATTAGTTAAAACACTAGTGTAAAGAGGTGCAACTCCTGTTCTCATCAGCCGGACACTCACTGATGCCAAGACTGAATTTTCTCCTCATGCTTAATACACTGACATAAACTAATTTCCAGGCACTGGCAGTTTTCATATTACAGAAAAATCTTGGTGCAGCTCTGATCCCTCAAACTGGTATTTAAGAACTAAAAAAAATTGATTTGGGAATATTTTTAAAACTGGTTTTTTTTCTGTCAGGTAATACAGAGCTCTGTTCTTCCACATACCTGAAAAAAGGCCTATGAAGCAACAACTTGAAAACGAAAGGTGAAGAAATCTGAGGAAAAGAGTAATAACATTATTATAATTTCTGGGCGATTACCATTTAAAAAAAAAAAAGTTTTGCCATGTTGTTTAGCCTATACCTGGTAAGGCAAGTTAGCCACGCATGCATCAAAGAATGGTAAGTCTGTCTTCAAGATATCTCCAACCTTGATTTCCAGTTTGTTTGCCAGACACCTGGGGGGAAATACACTGTTGGTTATCCTCAGAGGAGCATGTCGCCAAAGTTTCTGCCGCAGCAGCTTCACTGCTTTAAGTGCTCGCTATCTCCACAGTTGATACTTACGTGCCCTGGACTCTCTTCTGAAGTTCACCAACAAGTCTGGGGTCAATTTCACAAGCAATAACCTGAAAACAAAGTATATATTTGCAACTTTATACAACTCCTCCTAACTGGGACTAAAATGTCAATTGTAAAAAAGCCCTGAATCTATTGCTACAGGTTTAAATAATTCTTAAAAATTCCCTATTTGGCTATGCACTTTCCTCCCTCCCCAAAAACATGCAAGACTTACCATGTGAATGGACAACAGCAATACAGTTTAATAAAAACCGCACAAGATTTACATGAACAGCTAAAAAACCGCTGGAGTTATGCAAGTGTTAAGAAAAATATTCCATAGAGTAATTCTACTTATGTGAATCAAGCGGATGAAGATCGTTCTGCTTGCCGTAATCTAAGGCACAATGTGGTTTGATCTGGGGAAGGGGGGGAGGGAGGGGGGGGGGAATTCACACTCACTTTTTTTACTTTCTCTAACATCTTTACTGTCAGGTTCCCGGTTCCCGGGCCTACTTCCAGAATGACATCCGTGCGTCGTAGGGCCGCCTAAGAACAAACGGCATTTCAGTTACTCTTCTAGAACCAATTTCAAGCAACCATTTAATTTTAAAACAAAAGGCATG